CGACTGCACGTTCAGTTAGTACTTCTTTAACGAACTACTAAACTAAATGCAGAGTAACTACGGTGCATAAATGAACATGTAAACGTGCACCCAGAGAATTTTTTTGGCTAGTGCTTAGCAGTAAAAGGCATGCCCTGTTACTTGAGCCTATGCATCAGGGGTACCAGTATTGCCTGAACTGTTTTCTAGTGCCTGATGATCCACCTGTGGCAGTGAAGCTACACATTCTTGGTGGCTAAAGAGCAGTTAGTTATTTCTTAGATGGGATTAAGCTGTTCAGCAAATCACACTCTTTGAGGCCCCAAGAGAAAAGTTGAAAGGTCAAGCCATGTAGTCTGAAGGTGTGTGTACAACCATGCTCTGGACTGTCTGTGCCTCAGCATCTTAAGCTCTGTTTAGTAATGGTGATAACAAGCTCAAATGCATGTGGTCACTCTCTACCTTAATGTGAAAGCCTAAGGGCTGCTACAAGATGCTGAGCCTGTTACTTCCTTCTGTATAGCACTGAAATAGATCATAGAAAATGAGGGTTGGAAAGGTCCCCCTGCTCAAAACCGGGCCACCCCCAACTATATCATCCTAGCCAAGGCTTTGTCTGCCCAGGTCTTAAAAACCACTAAGGATGGAGATTCCACAACCTCTCTGGATAGCCTGTTGCAGGCTTTATTACCCTCCTAGTGAGAGTTTTTTCCTGATATCTAACCTAAACTTGCCTTGCCAAGTTCAGGTTATCTGCCTCAATTGAAGCCCCAAGAGGTTGCTGTTGGGGTGTGTCAATGCTCCTGCTAGGCCGAAAAAAACCCAGAGGTTCCTGGATAAAAGGTCTTGCTCCTTGTCAGACTGATCACCACATTTAGGATCAAAAAGGAATTTTAACCAACAGTCAGATTGGTGCAGACTATGGGAGTTTGGGGTTTTTTTTGCAGTGAATAGGGTGTAGTTCTCTTGGATCTCTTGAGCATATCTAATATCTGCTTCCTGCCCCTGCAGTGGCAGGATATTGACAGTGCCCTTGTCCCTTTGCTTTAACTGGAAAGTTACAGTGTTTTTGATGTGCAAATGAATTATTCACAAATGCATGGTTTAGTTGGGGCTGATTCTGCCTTGAGCAGTTGGATTATCTGTGGCCTTTTGAGGTCCCTTCAAGCTCTACTTTTCTATGATCTACGGCAGAGGTACTGCCAGCAGGGAAAGGGAAGAGTTAACTCCTAAGAAAGCTCTTGTTCTCCAGATGCATTACCTCCATGCAGTCCCCCTACCCTTCTCCCTCCCTCCACAATCCCTGTTTGTAGCTGAACATTGGAGTTGAGGAAACTGGAAGGGTGGGCATCTCTCTCCAGTCTAAAGGGAGAGGGGAGGTTGTGGCTTTTATGGGTACTGCCCTGTCAAAGTTCTGTGCTCCTTGGCTGCCCAGCACATTCCCACAATGTCTCTGGAGTGGCAGTTGTTGAAAGAAGATGAGAACACATCAGCAACACCTTGTTACATCCAAAATGATAAAAAATACCCTACCTCAGGGCATAAAGTCAGTCTGACTGAGGTTAGGAAGAAACTTCCCCTATGGCACAGTGTTGCATGTTTGTAGAAATAACATGTATGCCACTCAGCATAGCCTTATGGAAAACCAGTGTGGGCAAGCAAAGCTGAATTTGTGCATTGAGACTACAGGTTTGGGTGTTAAGGGTCACCACTAAGATACAATATTATCAGACTTGTGTAATATGTTTGACAGGCACGCACAGCATGCTGGTTAAAAAACAAGTGTTTTTTTAAATAGAACACACCTTGCACTGGTGAAGAACTGGTGAGCTGATAGTTCAATGTAATCGTTAGTGGGCAACGCTCATCAGACAGAAGTGATGGTGAAGGGAGGGGCTTTGCAGCCATCAGTACTAGAACTAGTGCTATCATAGAGGAAGAAAAAATTATTTGGGGGGCTGAGTCTCTCCCCCCCACCCCCCCAAGCAGGTAAGTTTGTGGGAGAAGGGGAAGGGGGGCAGATTGAGGCCCCTGCAGTGAGGGAGAGAGTGGGGCACAGGCAGGGACTGGGGTGAATGGGGCCCTGGCCGAGGCAGGTGGTGGGACAATTGGAGCCCAGGCAGCTCATCTGGGGGGAGGGCTCCCGCCACTGTGGACACCCTGGCAGAGGCCCGGGGGGCACGTTCCCCCTGCTTTGTGTGTGGGGCAGAGGTGGATGGTGCTGCACTTTGCACCCTGCTGCCTTGAGAGCGGCACGATGCCATGTGCGTCCCACTACCGGGCGGGCAGGGGGTGTGGCACAGCCCAGAGGCGGTAGGCATGTGGTGTCACACTGCTCCCAGGGCAGCTGCAGCTGGATGCAAAGCCCAGCGTTCAGTGGCACCCGCCTCCACCCTGCACACAAATCCAAGGGCACGTGCCCCCCAGGCCTCTGCTGGTGCATGTGCAGTGGCAGGAGCACCCCCACACCCCTGAATAATCTGCCCGGGCTTTGATTGTTCCACCACCCAGGTCGGCTGGGGCCCCACTCGCCCCTGCCTCTGTCCCTGTCTGTGCCCTGCTCCCTCCCTCACTGTGGGGGCCTAAATCTGCCTTCGCAGCCCCTCCCCCTTCACAGAATAAGCTGGTACTTGCCTGCTGTGCTGGGCAGCCAGTGATCCACACACAGGCTGCAATCCTGGCTGTGTGTGCACCCCACCTCACCCCTGCTGCAGCTGCCCACAGCCTGTGGCTGGGCTGCCTTGCAGCTCTACCCGCTGCCCTGTGTTTGGTGGGGCTGAGTCCCCTTAGCCCCGGCCTTCTGCTGCCCATGGGTGCTATCAACATTTCTTGGCAATAGATATAAAACCATTGCTGAAAAACTGCACACGAACAGAGTGGCAGAGTGATAAATGAGGAGGACAAAGCAGTCATATGGACTGATCAGGATTACTTAGTAACCTGGCCCATTCAAACATCATGTGCTGTAGTGTAGCCAAATGTGAAGTCATAGCTAGAGAATGTGTTGCGGAAAGCAGGGGCACTTAAAAAAAGGGCAAGGGTCTTGTGCATTAACAACTGAACTCGAGATCTCAATGTAAGGCTGTGGCAAAACAGGCCAGTATACTCTGGCAGTATAGACAGGGAAGTAGCAGGTTGGAGCATGGAAGTAACATTACTTCTGTATGCAGCATTACACATCTACACGTGCATATTAATACAGGGGCGGGCAATTATTTTGGGTGGAGGGCTGCTTACTGAGTTTTGGCAAGCCATCGAGGGCCACGTGATAGGCAGCCAGGGGCAGATAAATATTAATTTTCTAAATTTTTTAGGGGGCCCGTGGGCTGAATAAAATGGCCTGGCGGGCCAGATCCGGCCCCCGGGCCACATTTTGCCCACCCCTGTGTTAATGTGACACAAACTCTGGTGCTTACCGCACCAGAGTTTATTGCTCCTGGGTGCTGCCTTTACATGTGTGCTTGGAACCGCAGCATGTTGAGCCAGGTTGGAGCAGCCCCAGATGGCAGGGGTCCCAGGGGTCAACCTGCTAGCCTGGGATTGCTCTGACCTGGCTTAAAATGCTGCAGGGGGCTGGCTGGGGGATGAGGGTGCTCTGTAGCAGGGCTAACCAGCAAGCTTTCCCCATGCTGAAGCACCCTTATGCCTCTGCCAGCCGGATCAGTCTCTATATATGCGTTGATGCACACAAAAAAAAACCTGCAGTGGGATAGTACTTGTATTTACAAGTACTACCCTGCTGTGGAGTTTTATTAGTTTCCTGCAACCTAATAGGGCTGCATGTGTAGACACTGAAATATTTACTGTGGAGCTAATTAGGCAGCTCCACAGTAAGTGTCTTGTGTAGATGCATCTGGTGAAATCAACATCAAAGTCCATGCACACAGGTCTGATGCTCCCATTTTTAAAAAATTGCAAAATAGCAAGTGTGGAAAGGAGCCCTCAAAATTATTCTGGGGCTGAAGAAAATGCCTTCCAGTGGGGAATGGAGAGAGCTCAATCTGTTTTGACTGATCAAGAAGAATTTAGGAATGTAGGACCGGAAGGGAGCTCCCAGATCTTCGAGTTCAGTCCCTGCTGTCACAGGCACTGCATGGTGTAATTCCTTGCATAGACTCATTGAGTTCCTTCATGCAACTAGTTAGGTTTTTTGCCCCTTCCCCCTTTCCTCTCCCTTGTACTCTTATTGGGAAGCTAATTTAGAACCTCACCGCTCTTGTATTTAGAAAAAGGTACCTAATTCTCAGCCTAAATTTATTCATAGACTATTTACACACACAATGATGATGGAGAGGTGATTTGATTGCAGTATGTAACAACTTTCATAGGATAATAAAATAAAATATTACCAGGTAATAAAAAGGTTCTCAGGTTATCAGAGGAAGGCATAACAGGAGCCAGTGGCTGGAACCTAGAGTCAGATCTTTTCAAATGAGAAATATAGTCCAGAATTTTAGCAGCAAAGGCACAAACTACTGAGGGTCATATCAGTTCCTCCATCTGTTGAGTTTTCCAAAACTTCATGACTTGAAGATATGGTTGTAGTCCAACAGAAATCAGTGATCACAATACGGAGGTAACCAGGTGAAGCAGAATGTCCTGGATTGTGTAGCATTCAGACTAGATGACCTGATGGTCCTGTTGAGCCTTAAACTTTACAAATGTTTTTTATATTCCCCCCACCCCTTGCACTTCTCAGACCTTGCTCTGGTGTAGCAGCTGGTTGTGGGCAGCATGAAAGAGCAGGCTTGGGCCAAAGGGGCTCTTGTGCTTGTTTGGTACAGCAGGAGGGACCAGTGTTGGGACCATAGGGAATCAGGACAAATAAGTCCAAACTGGCATTAGCACAGGGTTGGCAGGCTTTTCTGCTCTGATTTAAACTCAACCACCGTTCAGTCTACTTGCTGCCTACTGTAGACTTGCTGCCTGCTGGGTAGTGGTCTAGCCAACCCATACAGTTAAGGACTGGCTGACATCTGTTTGTCACTCCTCCCAGTTTAACTTCTTCACTTCCTTTGTAGAGGGAGGTTCAGGATGAAAGAGCGAGTAGAGATGTGGCAGAAGATTGAGGAGCTGGCCAGGCTGAATCCCCAGGTAATGGTGAAAAATCATATGAGATGGACAACAGCAAGTATGTTGCAGCTCAATACCTGCTTCCTTGGATTCTTTCTGGAGGAAATGCTGGCCAGGCACAGAGCAGTACATGGTCACCTGCATTCCTGTTCCCTTCTCTTGTCATGGACCCCAATTTCCTGAGGATGCTGAAGTTATCCCCACTACTTGGCAGATTCCAAGATGTTGTATCCACCCTCTGATATAGGAGTAGTCATCTGGAAAGCCAGGTGTCTTTGTGGTCAGTATAGTGATCTGCCCCTGCTTAGACAGAAAACAGCACTTACCCCACTGCTCTGCCAGCATCCTGGGAGCAGAGGGCAGGCATCTTCCAGACTGAGGAATACATACAGCCCTGCTGGCTTGCCTGTGTGGGCTATGTACCATGACCTACTGGTGCATTTCCTAGGCATGGCTTGTATAGAGGGAGGCTGCGCAGTTCTAGTGGTGGTACATGAAATTCAGTGGGGCCCCATTCAGATTTAGGGGTAGAAAATGGGTTCTGGTTCCTGGGCACAGTAAGGAACCAGCACTGCATACTGACCCTGACTGCTTGTGTTCCTGCAGTATCCCATGTATTATGCACCTCCACCTTTGCCTCCTGTTTACTGCATGGAGACAGAGACCCCAACTGCAGAGGATATACAGCTACTGAAGAAAACAATGGAGACAGAAGCTGTGCAGGTGACTGAGTTCAATTTCTTGGCATGTTTTCTCAAAAAAGGTCTCTTCACAGTAGATGGGTGTGTTTAGAAGATAGAAACTGCCAAACTGGGTCAGACATAGGTCTGTCTAATCCAGTATCCAGCACGGCTACTTCACATGAATCTGTGAGACCCCCACCACCCATCCTAATCCCAAGTCTTAGAGACTGGCCTAAACGCTGGAACAGAAGGGTTTATCTCCCTTCCAGAAATTAATGTTAGCTGTTAAGAGTTCTGGATAGCTTTGCTACCCAAGACAGGAGTCTTGGCAAGACTTTCCAAGGCTTTTTACTAAGACCATGTGTGAGACTAGGGAGAGCATACCATGTCTACAGCTAGACATGGGGCGGGGGAAACAAGGGCAGAATCTCACTCTGGCAAGCAGGGTCTCCATGAGCATAGGCAGCTCTGAGTAGGATTAGTGTTACTGATCATGTTTCTCTCCCCTTGGAAGGGGACTGACCAGGTAAGGCTTGGGGCACCTGGGTTGGAGCCGCTTTTCAGGGCTGGGAAAAGGAGAGGACCTTGGGTCATGTGACCCCTTTCCCTCTTCACCCATGTTCCTGCAGGATGAAGGGGCCAGCCAACCCCCTTTCATTTCCCTCCCCCCCACCCCAAAGTGGTCACTGACCCTTTTTGGTTTGTCTGTAGATGCTGAAAGACATAAAGAAGGAGAAAGTTTTGCTGCATCGGAAATCTGAGCTTCCTCAGGATGTCTATACTATAAAAGCCCTGGAGGCCCACAAGAGAGCAGAAGAATTCCTCACCTCAAGCCAGGAGGCGCTCTGACGGGCTAGGGAACTGCCCTGGGAGGCCTGGCCCCCTTCACTCCCCCCAGGGGTTACACAAAAATGCACTTGGTTCTAATGTATAACTAGGGAATGAACATGGTGAGCTGTGCCTGTCCTCCACTCCATTCCCATCCTTTCAGGGTAGATTTGGTTTTACGTTGTACCTTGTATCTCATCACTTTGTCATGTCCTCCTGCTTTTTCCTCTAAGGCTGTTTTTTGTGTGCACGTGCAAAGGGAGTTCACCCGGTCCATGTCTGTATCATTCCAGGCAGGAATAATATAATTTCCTGCTGCTTACTGAACCAAACCACAGCCTGGGACCAAAGCCTCTTGAATTCTATGTCTGGGCTGAATTTTCCAGCCATAAAATGCAATGTGGTTCTTCCCTGTCCATGTATTACCCTCCATGCACAGCCCTGTACCACATATACAGCAAAGAGCCCCAGAACTGAAAGATAGCAGATGCTCAAGTGGTTTGGATCTTGTCCTTCATCTGGACAGGATAATTCAAGTGGGTTCTCAAAGGCTGCCTCCAGTCACATTCTAGATGTCCCATTTTAGAAGTGGATTTTCACCTCTGCCCTTGGGCAATGATTCATCAAGTTCAATTGTCTCATGTAGCAGAAGCCTTGCTTGGTCCTTACTTAATGGAGTCCCTCCATTCTGTTCTCCTTTCTGTGATGTGAGGCTAATTCTTTCCTGGATGAAGTACTTTGTAATCTCTAGATGAAAGCATTGTGTGGGCACAAATGTTACTAAATTTAGGGATAGGTTCCTCCTATCCCTAAAGCAATCAGTCTCGCCCTTCTTCCTTTAGAAAGTTCCCTATAAGACATGTGTCATCCATGCTATTCTAAGGAACAATTCCGTCCATTCCTTCAGCCTTTTTGTTTTTCTCCTGAGTTTCTGAAAGCTTGTCAATACCACTGAGGAAGTGAGGGGCCCCAAACTTAATGTGCTATTCCCAGGCAGTCACCAAAGGGTGAATATTACACCTCTCTGCTTTATCGACTCAGAAGCGGAACGGCTCTCCTTTTGTTGCCATATCGCATCTGCACCCTACCTGTATGCAGGCCAAGGTGCCCAGGAAGCTTGTGCCGATTGCTGTAATTCACTGCAAGCCAAGCGACAGGCATGTGTTATGGGCCCAGGTTAAGCTTGTGAGTATTCAGTTGCATCTGTGCTTTGGGGTCATAGACCTAATTATTAGGAAACAATTGCTTCTGCAGGTGCTATAAGGAGAGTTCACCTTGCCCTATCTGTACAAGCTTAGTTAGCTATCTGAGCTGAACTCTATTGTGGCATCCTTGGGGGTCTGGGACCCTTGCTAGTTCTTATGTAGCACATCAGGGACCAGCTTTTATAAGTAGGACTGTATCTGCCAGTAGCCCAGGGCCTTCCTCCTGGCTAGTGGTTAGTACGTTATAGTGTTTGGGCAGTTCTCTTGAGCGTTGTGCTCCAGATGTCCCCCTTGCCTGGAAAAGCTGTTTTTTATGGGCAGGGTAAATTCACTGTTCTCCATTACTTATTTTTAAATAAAATGCTGGCCTTGCTTCTTTCTTATGACATAGCTCCTGAGTGGGTAAGCAGCAGCACTGTTGCTACTGGTTTAAGAGTTGCCTTCCAGAATCATGGGGGAAAAAAAACAAATCACAGAAGGAAAAATCCTTGTGGATCATGTCCTCTGCTGGCATATTCCACTCTCCAGCTTTACTTCCTTAGTGACAGGTGCTCCCATGAGAGCTTTCTCCCTAGCCGCATACCTTTTGCTACTCGCATTCAACCCATCTTTTCCATTCATTAATCCCTTGCCAGGGCTCTTACTCATATCCTGCCCAACTCATGTTAAAGTTCTTCTTCCTCCTCCTTGTTTAAACCCTTCACACATACATTATTAACCCTCCGACTATAGTCAGCTCTTTCCTCCCAAGTCAGTCATTCCTTCCACTACAGCTCATTCTTTTCCTTTGAAGTCCCTTTGTCCTTGCCAGACTTGCCTTTGTTGGCCAGAGGATGGAAGGTGACACCCTAATTAAGGGAGTTCTCTAATTTTCTAAAGATTCTCAATACAAATAGAACAGCACCTCCCATCTGCTTTGTCCTGTGGGCTAAATCATCTAGTGATCCATGAATTACATGCTGGAGAAGTTTCTACCTTCAGCATGAATCAGAGTTCACAACCAGTTGTAAAATATGTGCCCTGTGCCTGGCATGGTGTTTGGCATATGGCTGCTCATAACGATGTGGCTTTCACTTTGCTACAAAGAAAGTGATGGGGAAGGGGTGCAGAGGAGTTGCTAAATCCCAACAGCCCTCTCCTCACCCTCCCCCCTTGCAACTTACAAAAGGAACCTACAGCAGCCAGGGAGGAACTAACATGTCTGATGGGCCTTGGTGTGGTATCACTATATTGACAAGAGCACTTGCGCAAGCTATCTGTCAACTCATCTCTGCTATACTATGGAAGGTCCCACTAGCTGCCCTGACTGAGGAGCAGGCAGTGCTAGTTGGAGGCCTAGGCCTACAGCAGGGAAGCACTTTGACTATGGAAGAGATGGAATTGGCAGTTGCTGCATTCCAGGCTAGATTTTGCCTCTGGCTGGGCTCTAGTTCCTGCTAGATTTGGTGGGGGAAAGAGAAGGAAAAATAAGTTACACCACCCTATTTGTACCACTACTTTTTCCATTTGAGTTTTGTACTGCAGCTGTCTGGCTTATCCCCACTTACTCAAAATCTTGTTTTGGGTCAGGGAGTCTTTTATGCTTAGCACAATCACATAACATTTAGTTTGCCTATTCATTTCACTGTCCAGGAAAGCTAAGTGGTGGGGGTGGTGTGAGAAAAGTTTAAATGCACTTGACACCTCTATAAAACTGTAGTGACACATGCAGCTCTTGGGCATCGTCAACCACATCATAGCTTGTTTTTGTACATTTGTTCCCTACCATTAGCACTGACTTCTCCCTGTGCCCTACCCACCTCTCAGCCACATGGACAGAGTTGGAGCTGCCTCTTCCACTTATCACATAGCTCTCTCCTCAGGAGGGCAAAGTAAAACTAAACAATGCATTTACCCCCTGGACACAAGTATTAAGCTGCTTACAGTTCATATGTACATATGGTGTACTTTATTTTCAGTAGAGCATTACATAGTATGAAAGTGTTGAATTTTGTACAGATGTCCCTGTATGTACAGAACTAAATAAAAATGGATCTCTTGAAAAGACAACACATTAGACTCCAGGGCATGTGACATGGCACTGTACAGATGTCTGTCCTCTATGGGGATGGGGTCAGCACATACATGGCTGAGAAAAACAAAAACAACTACTTTTCCCCCCTCCACAAAGAAGGATCATAGAGGATTTAGTATAAGTCCAGCATTCCTCACTGGCTGACCTGGCTAGAGCCTGTGGACTGAGGAAAGCAGCTGAGTTCCTTAGAGGCAGAACACTACTACAGAGCCAGTGCAAGGACACCACAAGACCCAACATCAAAGTCACCCAGAAACTGAAGAGGGGAAGAAGGAAAGCAATGGGTTTAGTGTCAAACAGTCCAGAGAGAGATTAGCACTTTTGTGCTGGTGGGCAACTAACCTATATTGTTGACCAGTTTAGAGAATAAGAGGAGGCTGTCATCTGTCTTCCACACTTAACTGGATGTGGAAGTGGGGGGATAGGTAACACTATTTACTCCGCACTGTGGGCTTTCCAGCTAGGCTCCTGGCACTGGCTCTGCACTTCACTTCCATTCAGGCACAGAGATGCTACGATTCTGTCTGGCTTGCAGTGTGCGCTGTACCATGTCCTTCCACTGCTCATCCGAGATTTCACTGGCCCACGCTGGGATTCCCAAGCTAGGAAGTTTCACACTGGCCATTGTTCTTTTCACCAATTCCACATGTTCTAAAACCAAACAGAGTCACAGCATGAAACTAGCCATCCCACTAGTGAGTAGCATGCAACCTCAAAGCCTTCTTACAGAAGATGCTGGGAGCTCAGCTCTATTTTGATATACTGCCCATGAGGAGGGAGCTGCTTTTCTCCAGCCCCCTCAAAAGCTTGGTTCCAGTGTGGAATGAAGGGGAAAAATTAGGTTCTATTACCTGGATCCATAGGTATGGAGCCCTGATTGCCCTGAGCTCCAGCTCCTGCCGCTGCCGCCTCCTCATCCTCGCTATCCACTGGAGGATCTGGCAGGTGCAGCCTCATCATCTGCAGCACACAAAATCTTTGCAAATTTCAAAGACAAGGATAGAAACAAAGATTCCCTTCTGCATTCTTCCCTAGCATCTCCTCCTGCCCTCACCCCTTTGGCATTCTCACTATAGCACATCTCAGGCACCAAGCTCCTCAGTGCACACTCTCCTGAAACATCTCCCTGCCTCAGTACACTTCCCAATACTTCCAATCCCAGCGTTAAACAGAAAACCACCACCTCATGGCTCAAAACTCACAGAATGTAGGTTTTTCTTTTCTTAAAGACAAGTCATGATTTGCAGCTCTTTCAGCTTGGTTCTCTCTCCACCTCCCCTTGCATGTTGCTGTCAGAATGATAGTGCAATTAACTACTGTTGCAGCACCTGCCACTAGACAGCCCAACGCAAGCATGTCTGTTTGTGCCAGATGTGGTACAAACAGACAAGAGACTGGCCCTGCTCTAAAGAGCATATAGTCTAATGGACAGCATCACATCGCATTTGTGACATGGAAGCCAGAACTATGTCATCTTATTTAGAGGCCAAATCTAAATATTCATGACATAGGAAAATGTTAAAGCTTCCCCAGCTCAGCAGGGGTTAAAACTGGTGAAAAGGTGTAGACAGACATCACATTTGAATAATTTCAAGTGCCTTTCAAGCACTCCCAGAATCTCTTTTGGCATGAGGAACTACTTAGGAGAGCATTACTTCTTGTATACTGCATACTTTGTCATCTTTATGCTGATGTAGCAGGGGACTGGGGGAACCACAGTGCTCCACTCCCCATACTGCAAATCACCACAGCCCCCTTGCTGGAGAAGGTGTTGCTTGCATGCAGCCAAGGAGCTATTTTGAAGCACCCCAGCAGGGATGAGATGCCTGTTCAGCAGCTGAAATGCTAAGTTTCTGAAACATTTTCAAGCCTTTAATATTTTAAAGTGTAGCATCTGTCCCACCCAAAGGGCCTAAAAGTCATTAGCTGCATCCTAAAGCATTCAACCCCTGCAAGCGTTACACCTTTACGGATGAGAATTCTCTCCTAGGAGTACTGGTTTAGTCCAATGGTGCCCCAACTCCTCTGACTCCCTACTCTGGTACACTGGCCCAATTTGGCCGTCAGAGCCACATCATCATCTGACCTGAAGAGCTCCCTATGGGTCTAGAAGTTTGGCAGCAGGACAGGCAATGGCAGTAGTGCATCGATGCTTCCACCACTACCCTACCACCAAGGGTCTAGACCCATGGGGAGCCCTGCAGGCTGGATGACACAGCTCCGTAGGCCAGAGCCTGGTCACCCCTGGCTTAGCAAGTTTCAAAAGGAAGTTGACATGGATCTGCCCACTCTGCTCATCACGTCAATCACCTGCACCTCAAGTCTAATCTTGCTTTTGTAAAGAAAGCTACAGTTAATACTGCACTGTTACATTTTTGGCTAACGCAAGATTCAAGTTATTTGCATCATGGAGTCATTCCAACAGTCAATCCAGGGTCCTAATGCTATTCCCCTTTGCCCCCTCCCCTCTTCATCACAAGACATTAGTAGGGCTTGAACCCAGAGTCTTCCTAGTCCAGTCCAACCAGCAATGCATGCTCACTTACTGTTTACAGAGCAGTCTTTCCAGAGGAACCAATCCAGGAACTGTCTGCAGTCTATTACACTTGGCTACACTTTCTGTAACACTGCCTCTGGGCCCCTTCTCCCCTTTGGATCATCTCCAGGAGCTGGTGCCTGGCTACATATATTCCAAAGCAGGAGCCTCTACCTCTTGAGAGGAGGAAGAGGCTCTCAGCACAGAATTGCTAGCACAGCCCTATGGTTTAGATGGTGTTTGGCTGCTAAAAAGCAACAGAACACATGTTTTCTTAGCATGGGCTACAGAACAGTCTGGTTTCCATCACTCTCTCTTAACAGCTGCAGGGGGCAAAGCAAGCAACAGAGCTAAGTTGTGAAGACACTGAATTTGCTCCTGGCTGCACCAGAAACAAGTGCTGCAGAAACGCTCGTGTTATCTGTGAAAAGAATGACACAAGTCCTCAAACACAACGTGCTGAGGCCTGGGCTACACGAGTCAGGTTATGTGAAACAGGAAGTGTTCCCAAGGGGCAGTGGGAGGGCTCAGGCCCTGCTACAGCAGTCGGGGACACCTTTCCGAGGCGTGCAAGCCTCACGTGGAGGCGCTGGTTTCTCCGATTTTTGCTTCTTCCCAACGCCTTCGCATCGTCATTGCTGTCGTCTGTGGCAGCTGAAGTCCCATCCCACCAGATAAGTGCCCCTCCCTTGGATGCACCTGCCCCCCCGCCCCGGGGGCCCCCGCGCTCCCTGCAGCCGCTCCTGGATGCCGGGGGCTGGCTCCGTGCTGCCCGTCGCCTCCTCGGCCGCAGGCAGGCTCTGCTCCCAGGGCCCCTGCTCCGGATCCTGGTTCAGAGGCTGGTACAAGTAGCCGCCGCTGTCCTCCTCCTCCTCCTCCTCCGGCTCCTCACCACTCCAGTCCCCGACGGGGTCCGGGACGCCCTCAGGGGCCTCCTGCGGCCCCGCGTCCTCGTGCTGGTTCGGGCAGACGCGCTCCGGCCCCATTCCCTGGGCAAGCCCCAGCGCCACGTCCATGCGCCAGCGCCCGAGCTGGGGGCGGGCACCGCGTTACAGCCCGCAGCCCCCACCCGCGAGAAGGCGAAGGGAACGCCCACTTGTCGCGGGTCCTTCCCGGACCTGGACAAGACTTCCTCTTCCGCGCCGGAAGCGGAAGTACGCTATCAGCCCATGCGGGTGGCGTCATAGAGGAGGGCTCTGGGTCTTGTAGTTGCACGACTAGCGGGCCCGCTGCCAGGGCTCGCATCCGTGCCCCGAGCGGCGGCTGCCTGCAGGGGTGAGGGGCCGTCTGCGGAGGCAGCGCGCGCTCTTCCTTATGGTGCGAAAAACAGGTGTATTTTTGTCATCATAACACCGGGGCGAGGCCCATCGGAGCTAGTAGCTGCCTTCAGTGGCCAGGAGGAGGCCACTAAATGCGTGGTAGCGGATTTCTTGGGAAAACAGGAGGTGACCAAAGGAATAGGAGTGCAGGGTGCAGATTCATAACCAGGGTGTCACGAGAGGGCACAAAGCAGATCTCTTGGCTGTGAGAGAGTGGATGCTGGGCTAGGCCGACCTGTGGTCCAGGGGTGTAACTGAGGCTGGGATTAGAAGTCACAATTAAACTTCGGTGAGGGCACTTCCAAGGTGCAGGGTGACCAGGGCAGCAACCCCTGGCCCCAGTTTGGGAGGGGGAGGGGATTGGGAAAATAGCAGCTGGTGCTGCAGCCACACAGTTGCACCATAGGCAGCTGGAAGTCACTGCTGCTCCCATGCATCCTTGCTGCTCCAGGTGCCCTGTTCACGACCCTGTTGCGGTCTGCGTCCCTACGGCACTGCTTGTGCCACGAATGGCCCTCAGAAGCCAGTGACTAGGTTAAGCCCATGAGGCAGTAGGCTTGGAGCGCTGGTGTAGTTGTGCTGGTCCAGGAAACATATGAGGCAAGGGTTTTGGTGGTATGGTTTATGGAACCAGCTTTATAACCAGACAACCTTTTTGGCTTCAAAGGAAGAAGGGCTTTTCATGGCCAAAACTTTTACGGTGTCTCAGTGTACAGTTGGTCCAATACAAGATAACACAAAAAGCCCCTTGCCTTAAGCCTGTATGGCTTGCTTGTCCACGTGTATGGATGCACGTATTCGTTCAACCTTGCCTTGCTCGCTTTACCCGCATGCAGTTACTTGCACAGTAATCCTAACTGATTACAAGACTATATAGGAAGTGCTGCTTCCAACATCCAGAGACTACCCTCAACCAGAGTTCCTTTAGTTGGTCCCCCTTCTTCCAAGGGCTTCTCTTGGTCTTTTTGAAGGGGTCCTTTGATGCTTCTCAGTCGGTCTGGGCCTTTCTTGCCCTTTGGTTTCTGTCTCTCCTCCCCCCTTTCCCAGAACAAAGCCAGAGGGAGAAGTCTGAGTTCCCGAGTAGCCCCGCTTTGCTGGCAACAATGCAGCCTTGCTTGGG